CATACTTGGCAGCATAAATTGTATGATAGGCGACAGGTGTAAATTGGCATCTTGTGGTTTAAATTTGTTCATTTCTTTTAAAAAGTGAGGGCAAGGGGCTGATCTGGCATACCAGACACATTTGCATGCTTTCTTAAAACCCCAAGAGGAAAATGGAGAAGGGATTGTAGTGTAGCCACCTCCCGGGGATGATTTCTCATCTTCCTTCTTTCTCTGTCTCTCTCTGGCAAAAGTATGTACGTGCCCTATAATAAAAGCCTAAAAACAAACAAACGAACAAAACCCAAGTAAACCCCAAAACCAACAATAACAAAAAAGTGAGAGTGAGCTTGTTCTTCTAAGAGTTATTTGTATTTAATTTTTTGTGTTAATAGTTTATTTACAACATTTGCCTATTTTCCTATTAGATTTTTTTTTCTTCACAGAGAGGTTGTAGATCTCTCAATATATTGGGGAAATTAGTTTTGTCAGTGTTTTTTTTTCTACTCTTCTTTGCTTTTAGATGTGTTTTCCCATGCACTTTTATGACTTTTGAGCTTTACGTTATCACTAGAAAACCTTTTCCGCCTTACGAATGAAACAATGAAAAAAAAATTAGACAAAAGAAAATCTTCCACATCTTATTTTTCTAGTATTTTGTGATTTCAATATGTATGTTTAAATTTTTGGTCCATCTTGAGTTTCACTGTGTAAGCATGTGTGTGTGTGTGTGTGTGTGTGTGTCTGTGTGTTTGTAGGAACTGTGAAGTGAATAGAATTTTTTCTCACATAGTGTACTGTTAATTCTTGAAGTGAAATATAATAACTCAATTTTCTTTTGTTTTCCCATTTTTAGGGAAGTCTTGAGACTTTTTCAGGACTGGGACTAGTTCTAGGTCCTCCGTTAGGAGGACTTTTATATCAATCCTTTGGCTATGAGGTGCCATTTATTTTTCTGGGCTGTATAGTCCTGCTGATGGTACCGCTAAACATGTATATTATCCCCAATTATGGTAAGTCCACATTTTCTACTCATTTTGGAAAAATAATTTATTATTATTATTATTATTATAAGAATTCTAAATTTAAGTCTTTTTAATACTTTTGTAGGAGACCAATTTACCATATATTTATATATTTTTATTATATATTACATAAATTTGCTATATACCAATTTACCATGTATTCACTTTTGTATTATAATAATATAATTATCATATGTATTCTATTATCACATATAATTTAATAATAATATAATAATATATCATATCTGCAATGCATAACATAAATATATATTATTATATATATATTGATATATCATCATTGTAAAAAGCAAAAAGAAGACCTAAGTAGCTTTGAAAAAATTCCCTAGTGTCCCTTGAAGCAGGCATCAGCCCAGGTTTTCATTAGTTTGCCTTCTTCAGCAGCTTAATCTAATTATGTGTTAATTTTTCACGAATGCTTTTATGTATTCTTATTTTGATAACCTCTTTCCCACCCTGGGTCAGAAAAGGTAACCATATATGCCATAATCATTTGTCTTTTATCATAAACAAATAATATTTCTTATATGCTCGATAAGTGTAATGAATGAAAATTGGAATCTTTCGTAATTGATATTAATATCCTTGTATACAATTTGAAATTCACACCAAATTTCTCTCTGTTAGCAGTACCTCACAGAGCCACAAGGTGGTGCTTGTTCTCTTTCTAAGTCTAACCACACACTTTGTGGGGCTGCGCTCAGATTTGTTCACTGTCAAATACCTGGCTGATGATTAAGAAACTAACACCAGGTTTTAGCTTTATATCTTGTGTCTTGAAAAAGTGTAAGTGTAAAACTTATGCTTCAACTTAAAATAGTCAAACCATACTTCATGACTTTCTTGTACTTGGCCCCATACGTGATCATTATTCAACAAGTATTTATGGCATAACGAAGTATGCTGAGTGCCACGGAAGAAATGGGATATAGGAGGACTAATACTGGCCCTCACAGAGCTTCCCCACCCAAACCCAGTATCCTCTCTGTCCAGAATCAGTACAACAGCCTCCTAACCAGTCCCCCACCTCCATGCTCCATAGGGCCACAGAGATTTTGCTAACCCACTTATGTGATCTTGGGGCACTGCTTGCAATCCCTGGTGATTCTCAGGCTTCTCCACATATTTTACAAGGTGCTCCATAATCTTATCACTGCATCCTTCTGCAGTACCAGGCCACTGTTGTGTATCCCAATCGTAGTCTTCCAGCTTTGCTTTTCTTTCATTTTGTCAGATGCAGAATAGTTTCCCCTTACTGTGAGTCTTTGAATAATATACCTGGATTACACTTTCTCACTTATTTGCCTGCTCATCTCAAGCTCATTCTTTTAATTACCAACTTAGACATTACTACTTTTGAAAGCTGTTCTTTTTTTTTTAAGGTTTTTGCCATAGGGCATGCATGCTTGCATGAGGGAGTTGGAGAGACAGTGAGAGGGAAAGCGAGAAACCCTTCAGGGGAGTAGCCATGCCACAATCCTTCTCCTTCACTCTCCTCCTGGGATTCTGGGCACACACGTACTCTCACCCAGTGTGATTTTCAAGTTGCCAGGTCTGGGACTCGAACCATGGTCAGCCATGTGGGAGTCCAATGGCTTAACCACCACACCACCTGCTGGCCCCCTCCTGGTGTTTTGAGGTACCCCTTTCATATGCTCTAATAGGTAGCCTCCTAGCCCCATCCTAGCTCTCACCCTTGCTTGTTGTGAGTTCTCTGCAAGGACAAGCATTTTGCATGGTACCTGGCTCAGTCAAGATTTTGTTCAGTATGCTCATTAGAAGGTAGGAAATTCACCCAACAATAGTAAACAATACAAAGCAAAATGTAATTTCAGTGTTAAATGAGGTAGTATGGGCTATAAGTGCAGTAGGAAACCAGAAAAAGGTAATATTTATGAAGAACTTAGGGCCAGGGTCAGATCTTATAGAATAAAAGAATTTGAAAAATTAGCAGGGGAATAAAAGGAGTCGTGCACGATGACTGGGGCTTGGAACTGTAATGGCCGTATTGATGTCTGGGACGGAGAGGAAGCTGGTTTACTGCTGGGGAATGGTGGGAGCTAAAGTTGGTGCCCAAATGACCTCGAATACTGAACGGAATTCACACAGGGTTCTGTGGCATCTCTTTTGAACCCAGTATTTTCTCTGAGAGCAGGGGAAAAAACATTGTGTGTTGTGTTGTATTGTTTTAAATTAACCCAGGTTCCTTCCAAGCATGTACACACACACTTTGTTCCTTGATAAAACTCTGGTGATGCTTTTCTCGTCTCCCAATTTAACTTTGCATATTCTCTGTCCCTTCTGGGGAAGGCCTTATTTAGATTATAACCTAAAGTTTATTCTTCCCTTCACACTCTGATCCCAATGGATTCTTTTTGGATTTGGGAAATTATTACTCTTTTTTTTTTTCCTTTTGAGTGGTTTTTGCCTTTGGGTGCATGCATTTGCCATGAGAGAAAGAGACAGACAGAGACAGTGAGATGGAAAGTGAGAAATCACCCCCTGGGAGAATAGCCATGCTGCAGTCCCTCCTCCATTCTCCTCCTAGAATCTTGAGCACACATGCACACGTGCCCAGCGTGTTTCAAGCCACTGAGTCCAGGACTCGAACTATGGTAGGCCATGTGGGAGTCCAGCAAGGTAACCATTATGTCATCTGCTGGCCTTGGGAAATTATTTTTAATAAAATGGAAAGTGTCCTCTAGGTTTGAATAGCTTGCATGTAAATGGAGAGGATGTACAAAATTTAGGCCAACTCGCTTATCTTGGTTACTAGATAAAACTGGCCTTACTAGTGTTTTTAAAGCTTTTTAAAAAAGAATTACTTATTTAATTTTATTTATTATTATTATTTTAATTTGCTATCGGACATGTGCACTCACCAAGGAGAGTCAGAGAGAGAGAGAGAGGGAAAGTAAGAAAGCAAGCTATCAGGTCTGACACTCAAACCGCAGTCGGCCATGTGGGAGACCAGCCTCCCAGCCACCACACCACCTGCTGGCCCCAGCTGGCTTTACCAGTTTTATTTTTCAAAATAACTTAAAAGATAAAGGTAAGTGATTTTAATTCCTCTGATTTCTTTTTTCAATTTTACCAAAGACGCTGATCCAGGTGAACATTCATTCTGGAAACTTGTCTCGTTACCCAAGATTGGGCTTCTGGCCTTTGTCATCAACTCACTCAGCTCGTGCTTCGGCTTCCTGGATCCTACTCTGTCTCTCTTTGTTTTGGAGAAGGTGAGTAGCCTGATTGTGGAAGAGCTCTGTGTTGTAGCAGGTGGATGTAATTGCTTGCTCTAGGGCCCTACTTTGTAGGGAGACCTTAAGTAAAAAGTGAAATTTCATACTGAAGTAACCCAGGCCTTCCCTCTGTGCAGCCTCTAGAACTAGCGATGTGACTCAATAGAAAAGAAAGAAGCCTTTCACTAAGTGGCCCAAACATGGGTCTCCTCTCCAGGACTTTGCTCACATCATCGTAGGTCTGGTTTGGGCATTATCCCAAGGTCCGTAACAAGGACCCCTTTCCTCTGTCTAAATTCAGCAGGCATTTGGAGCGGTAGATAGTTCATTTACTGTGAGGTGTTCTTTAACAGATCCCTCTGAGTCCTCTTACTTTTTACACTATTTCATATAACCAGATGGGCAGGGAGGATATTAATCTAGAACAGAAGAAAGGAGCAAAAAATCCTCCATTTTCCTAGTCCTGAAAAATAAACGTTAAATTCTAAGAGCTTGGTGTCATAGAAATTTGTTTTTAGAGCTTTCTTTTTGAAAAACAAAAAACAAAACACAACAAAACAATGATTATTCATGTAATGAAGTTCATTATCAAAGTTGGTATTTAATTACACTGGAGAATTAATGTGTCTATATGAGGCAAAAATGACTTACCTCAGCCCAGACTGCCTTTACTTGAGGCAATAGAATCAACATAGCACAATCACTGGAAACTTAAGTTTCAATAAAGTCTCTAATATGATCATTTCAAATGTTTTCTGAAAATTGACCTATCATATAATGTAGGATTAAAATGAATTTTTCTTAAAATTCCATGCTACCTCTTGAAATCACTAAAGAGAAGTTTTGAACATTTTAAAGATAAACTTGGGGACTATAATTTTGGTGCTTACCACAGGTTTAGAAAATAGTATAGTATCACACCTAACCAGTGAACTAGTTACATATCCCACCATGTGGAATTTAGCTTTTCTTTTTTTAAAATTTTATTATTTATTTATTTATTTATCCATTCATTTATTTTTTAATTTGACCAGAGAGAGACACACACACAAAGAGAGAGAGAGAGAGAGAGAGAGAGAGAGAGAGAGAGAGAGAGAGAGAGAGAGAAAGTGAGAAAGCAAGCCACCAGGTCCGAGACTCAAACCGTGGTCAGCCATGTGGGAGTGTCCAGCCTCTTAACCACCACGCTACCTGCTGGTTCCAGAGTCTAGCTTTTCTGGGGCAACTCTGGACAGTGCTTTACTGCTGTGCCACAGAGCCAGCCTAGCAGAACACATTTCAAAAGGCTTTTCTTTTCTTTATTTTCTTTTTTGTTTTTGTTATAGGACACGTGAGCACTCTGGAGACAGACAAAGTGAGAAATCAGCCCCTGGGGAGAATGGCCATGCTACAATTCCTTCTCCTCCATTCTCCTCTTGGGATTTTGGGCAAACACGCACACACACCTGGCATGATTTTCATGCTACCCGGTCTGGGATTTGAACCATGGACTCTGCCATTTAGGATCTAGTCATCTTAACCTCACACCTGCTCGTCTCTGTCATCAGTGTGTTTATATCTGTGTACCTCAAAGTGCAGTTTGCAAACTGTGGGCATCATCCAGGAGCTTGTTAGAAATGTAAACACTCGGGTCCCATCCCATGCTTTTAGAACTATTAGAATCTCTAGGGCTGGGCCCCAAGAACCTCTTTATTTATTTTATGCCAGGGTCTTGCTGTGTTATAACCCTTCTTCCTCAGACTCCCAACTGGGACCATAGGTATTAGCCACCACATCTGGCTCTTTTTTACATAGGGTCTCAGTATGTTGTCCAGGCCAGTCTCAAACTTGTGATCTTCCTGCCTCAGCCTCCTCAAGTCGCTGGAATACAGGAGCACACCAGTTGGACTGGGACTTGAACCCGGGCTTCTCATGTGGTCTCAGACTACAGTCTTTGCAGTGCACACTAACATGTGCCTTAAGAACCTCCTTTAACAAGCTCTGCAGGTAATCTTTAGGTGCCCTAAAGCTTGCAGAACACCAATTCACCTATAAAAATGCCACGATTGGGACCAGTAGTTAGCATAATGGCTATGTCACTGGACTCCCATGTAGTCGACCTGGTTCGTGTCCCGGACCCGGTGGCTTAAAACTCACGCCGGGTGCGTGTGTGTGCGTGCCCAAGATCCTGAGAGGAGAATGGAGGAGAAGGGATTGCGGCGTGACCATCCCTCCTTGGGGGTGATTTCTCTCTTTCTGTCTCTCTGTCTCTCTCTGTCTTTCTGGCGAGCGCACGCGCCCTATGTCAAAAAAAAAAAAAATGCCACGATTCATCGAAGTAAAGTTATATATTAAGGTCAAATGCTACAAAGTGAACAACATTGGTCTTCTGAACCCTGTTAGTTTTTTTCCCCACTCATAAAAAGAAACGAACCTGTTCACGAAAGTAAAACGGAAATTTGCAAGCATGCTGAGTGTTGTTAGTAGTAGGGAAAAAGATAGATCTTTATTTTAAAAATGACTTACTGTGTAATTTCCATGCGGATTTCTTTTGCAGTTTAACTTGCCAGCTGGATATGTGGGACTGGTGTTCCTGGGTTCGGCACTCTCCTATGCCATCTCTTCACCGCTCTTTGGACTACTGAGTGACAGAATGCCAGTACGTACACCACATTTGTATCTGAGTCACTTTGGTATGTTCAGACAGTAGTCTATCAACTATGCCTCTAGGATGTCTTGGTTGGAGTGACACATTCAATTAAGCTGCTGGAGAGGTTCCAGCATCTTCCAACCTGCCATCACTAAACAGTTTCACTTTTAATTTCCTCATCGGAAAAGAAGAGTATTAGAAAAAAACTGATGAAAAATTAGTAGATTAGAATTTCTAAGGGGAAAGTCTAGCTCTATGCAAAAAAAAAAAAGTTAATTATTAGCGCAGAGTCTCAAAGGTGATTATGAGACTTGACCCAAATGAGAGATCTTGTTTTAGGAGAAGATAATTTAGGATTTTTTTTGTAGGATTGAAAGGCATGGCCACATAAATGTACATTAGTTATCTCATAACCATCCTGACAGAAAATCCTTTCTATTATTTTTTTTTATTCCTTTTATTTTTTAAAGAGAGATTTTTGCTACAGGGAATGTGCGCTCACCAGAGAGACAGAGAGACAGAAAGCGAGAAATCACCCCCCAGGGGGGATGGTCACGCCGCAATCCCTTCTCCTCCATTCTCCTCTCGAGATCTTGGGCACACATGCACATGTTCCTGGTGTGAGTTTTAAGCTGCCGGTTCTAGTACGCAAGCCACAGTTGACTATGTGAGAGTTGAGTAACATAACCATTACGTCATCTGTTGGTCCCCCTTTCTATTCTTTTTTTTTTTTTTGGAGAGGTTTTTGCCATAGGGCGCGTGCACTCGCCAGACAGACAGAGAGAGACAGAGAGACAGAAAGCGAGAAATCACCCCCCAGGGGGGATGGCCACGCCGCAATGAGCAGATATTGTACCCTGTATTTCATAAGGGATAATATTGGGTACTTTATTAGTCTACTGGACTAACAAAATATCATAAACCTAGGGCTTGTAAACAATAGACATTTATTTCTGAGAGTTCTGGAGGCTGGAAGATCAAGGTGCTGGTAGGTTTGGTGTCTGGGGAAGGCCCGTTTCCTGGCCCATGGATTGCCATCTTTTCTTCCAGGACGTACAGCACACCCCTGTAATCCAATCACCTCCCAGAGGCCCCCACCTCCTAATACCATCATATTGGGCTTTAGGATTTAATATATGAATTTGGGGGACATATATGCATTAGATCTATAGCAGATACTTTTTTAATAACATGATTTTTCTAGTAGTGCAGCTATATGATGAGCTCCTTGAGGTGCCTATTTTTTAAATCATTATATTTGGAATAGTATTTCACATGCAAAATCCGTAATACCTTTCCTTTCCACGGAATCCTTGTCCTTTGCTTACTCCCTATCTTGTCCTTTTGAGTTTATTATCTACTTATTTCCTCTTAAATGTAAAGTTTTGATTTATCCCATGAATTTGGATTTTTAATATCATGACTTGCATTCTTTAATTTTTTTTTATACTGTTTGATTATTTAGGGGCGTTAGCTCTAAGTGTTTCTTTGGATTCTTTCTCTTTACCAGCATCTGAGAAAATGGTTTGTGGTTCTTGGAAGCCTAATGATAGCAGGGTGTTATATGTTCTTAGGACCGATCCCAATCTTGCACATTAAAAGGTAATTTTTTTCTTCTTTTTCTTTATTGTAGCAAAATAGTATTAAGACTTTTTGTTGAGTTCTTGTATGATGTTGGTATGATTTAGTATTCTGCATCTTCAGGGTCTTAAAACTTTTATATATTATTTACGACTGTATTGAGTTATTTGTTAGACAGACAGTGTCTTACTTACTGGAAACCTTACTGGAAGCATCGAAAAACGTACAAAAATGCATCATGACTTCTCCGACAACCCAGTAGCAGTGGTACAAGAGAGCTCATGATAACGCTTCTGTCACAAGGATTCAATGGGAAATGCGGGTTAAGTTATCGGCAAAGTGACAGACATGGAACAAATGTTGGTTTCCCATTTTTTCTTCATGCCTTCCCTTCTGTAACATTTTTTAAAAGCTAATTTCAAAGCCAAGCGATGGAAAGAACAGCATTTGTACTGATATTTTAACCAATTTTGTAAAGAGTTTGTATGGTCAGAAGGTGGCAGGTTGGCTCCAGATATGTGGTATATGTGACCAAAGAGGCTGATGTATCAGTATGACTTTTTTCCCCCCAAAATGTAAGGAGTACTCAAATGGATGAAACAGGATCAGATGGGAATGAGAATGAGGCTAGTCCCATAACATGTGAAACTACAGTAACTTACCTGAGATTCTGCCCTCCTTCTGGCATTCAGCTTAGCATGTTCAAATGCTAATGCTTTTGGTTTTGCTTTCTTTTTTTTTTTGGAGAGGTTTTTGCTATAGGGCGCGTGCGCTCGCCAGACAGACAGACAGACAGAGAGAGACAGAGAGACAGAAAGTGAGAAATCACCCCCCAGGGGGGGTGGCCACGCCGCAATCCCTTCTCCTCCATTCTCCTCTCGGGATCTTGGGCACGCACGCACACGCGCCCGGCATGAGTTTTAAGCCACCAGGTCCGGGACGCGAACCACGGTCGACTACGTGGGAGTCCAGCGACATAGCCATTACACTAACTGCTGGTCCTGGTTTTGCTTTCTCCAAAACTCTTTTGCAGTCAGCTCTGGCTACTGGTGCTGGTCTTGGTCATCAACGGCATCTCTGCTGGCATGAGCATCATTCCCACCTTCCCGGAGATTCTCAGCTGTGCATAGTAAGTTGCTTCTGTTGCTTGAAGAGTATATTGTGAACAGCAGGGAGCATCACAAGCTTTCTTCCTTTTTTTCTTTATTGAGGGTATAGCGAGACAGAGGGTTTATTGACGGAGAGGGAAGGAAAAGCAGCTCCCAAGAAGTAGGGAGGGGTTTTGGAAAGTGAGTTGTCCCACAAGCTTTCTAAAAGTTCTCGCATGTGAGGGTGATCTGGCTGCAACATCTGTCACCCCATTGATCGCCAGGGTTCATTCGGCTGATCTGGCTGACCAGGCGAGTGTTCTTTTCCTCCCTCACCACTCCTGTGTGTCCCTCCCGAAGCTGCGCACTCAGTCGAAGAGGATGACCATCCCCAATAGAGGAGGACTGTTCTTCAGTCAAGGGTATACGAGTAGCTGCATTCCCCTGCTAGAACCTCCAAACAAGCTCTAAAAGTTCTCAATTTTTTACGCTATTGGATATTTTTTTCTGATATTAAAATTTCATGTTTTTAGCACACAAAGTAGTGATATCAATAGTATAAAGAATATAAAAGATAATATATAATACACTAAAAGGTTAAATGGGTTGTGGATAGATGCTTGCCTTGGTGCATGGCTCAGACATTTGTAATTTTGAAAAGCCTAAGTGAAATGGAATGGCCTTAGCATAGTTCCTCTTTCATGGAGGATGTCCATACAAGAACAAAAAGCAGTCAGACAACTGTCACTTCACTCTCAGGTGTGATGGTGTTTAATAGGCATGACGATGAAGAACACGAAATACCATTACTATACCAGGTCAGTCCCACAATTCTCAGAAGAATAAGGGGCTATCTCTGTGTTTTCTAAGCATTGCCTGTTAGGGCAACAGGTGGGTAGAGGTTAAAGCATCTGGATTCCACATGACTGACTTCGCAGTTTGAATCCCTGACCCAGCAGCTTTAAGATCACACCAGGTGCATGTGTGTGTGTACCCAAAATCCTGAATGGAGAATGGAGAAGAAGGGATGTATCACCCCCACAGGGAGAGGGGGCCATTCTTCATTTTTCCCTCCCTCTCTCTCTGTCTCTCTGGTGAGTACAAGTGTTCTATAGCAAGAAGATAATAATAATAAAAAAAAGTTGACCATTGTTTTCTTTACATCTTCATCTCCTTTGAATAATTTCTTTTTTAAAAAATAATTATTTATTTTATGTATTCATTTATTTCTTTCTTAATTTGACCAGAGAGAGACAGAGGGTGAGAGTGAGAGAGAGAGGAAGTGAGAAAGCAAGCCACCAGATTCAGGACTCGAACCCTGGTCAGCCATGTGGGAGTGTCCAGCACCTTAACCACCACCATGCCACCTGCTGGTCCTGAAGAATTTCTTAATTATGTATTTTATAAGCATTTAATGCAAATAGGTCATAATTATTTTTTAAATGATTATTTATTTAAATTTATTTATTACTATATTTTAAATTAGCTATAGCACACATATGCTCAACAGAGAGAGATAGAGAAACAGAGAGATACAGAAAGAGAGAAAGCAAGTCACCAGGCCTAGGACTTAAACGGTGGTCAGCCATGTGGCAATCCAGTGCCTTAACCATCAAGCAATGTGTTGGCCCCAATGATGCTTAATATTATACCTTACATGTGTAATAAAATTTCTTTTAGAAAACCATGGAATAGATGTAAATATGAAAATTCCTTCATATTAAAGATTTTTATATTAGAAGTGGAGTATTCTTGTGTGGGTGATTCCTGGTTAACTTTAATTTCTTTTTCATACAATTTTTTCTTTCACACAGGTTTTCCTTTTAATAATGGATACACTCATGTCTCTCTTTGCAGTGAAAATGGATTTGAAGAGGGATTAAGTACGTTGGGACTCATCTCAGGTCTGTTTAGTGCAATGTGGTCAGTTGGGTGAGTAGCCATTAAATTTCCTTCCTACCTGCAAGATGGAAAATATTATTCCCATTTTACAGATAAAGAGAAGGGATCAGATGAGTTTCTCAAAGAAAAATAGTGTAGGGCAGATCTAGGCTGCTAATCCGCACCCCTGACTCCAAAATCAGAGGTTACACCTGCAGTTTTAGACCATAATCAAAAAATTCTCTTGCTTTGTCCTATTTAAGTAATATTTGTAAGTTCCTTTGTCATTAACATGTCTCAGATTTTATTTTTTAAATTATTTTAGAATTTAATTAATTATTTTCCTTTTATTTAAAAAATTTTTTTCATTTCATTTTCTTCCATACATTTAATCACACTATTATTTTTCTTACAAAATGGATGTTTCAACAGGTGAACATTTCTCCCTAGTACTGTTGATAAAACTACAAAATATCTTCAACAAATAATACCATACCTCTTTGCGCCATTTAGAATTTAATTTATTTCTATTATTTATTTGCTATAGGGCATGTGTGCTCACCAGAGAGAGAAAAAGTGAGAAAGCAAGCTACCAGGTCTGGGACTTGAGCCATGGTCAACCATGTAGGAGTCCAGCACCTTAATCACCACACCACCTGCTGGGCCTGTGTCTCAGATTTTAAAAATCCATTCATTTATTCATTCATTCATTTACTTATTTTTCACTTTCTAGTATTTCAAGGGGTAAATGTATACTAACAATGTAAAATATAGTCAACAAATATATATTAAATTGAGATAGATTAGTTGCAGCTACTGAGAATAGAATAATATATTCATGGGAACCAGCAGTTAGTGTAATGGCTATGTCGCTGGACTCCCACGTAGTCGACCACGGTTCACGTCCCGGACTCGGTGGCTTAGAACTCACACCAGGCGCGTGTGCGTGTGTGTCCAAGATCCCGAGAGGAGGATGGAGGAGAAGGGATTGCGGCGTGACCATCCCCCCTGGGGGGTGATTTCTCGCTTTCTGTCTCTATGTCTCTCTCTCTGTCTTTCTGGCGAGCGCACGCGCCCTATAGCGAAAACCTCTCCAAAAAAAAGAATAGAATAATATATTCTTTTGAATAAATATTATCATTCTATCTATCTATCATCTATCTATCTATTTATTTGTTGTGCTTTTCAAGTTGCCAGGCCTGGGACTTGAACCTCAGTCAGCCATGTAGGAATCCAGCTCCTTAACCACCACACCACCTGTTGACCCTGCATGCCATCATTTAAATTTTTTCTTTATAAGCCATGAACTTTCAGAAGCAGTTGTTTCGCAATCATTTAAAAATTTTAAATGATTTAAAATTGCTCAGGAATTGACCTTCATCTTTTGTACTTGTCATTTCTCTTTAAGGAAGACCTGTAATGGACAAATGATGAGCTTTTATGAAGTAATTATCTTTTGCACTATGTTTTTTCTTCTTTCCATTGTTAGTGCTTTTATAGGACCGACGCTGGGTGGATTTCTGTATGAGAAAATTGGATTTGAATGGGCAGCAGCTGTCCAAGGTCTGTGGGCTCTGATAAGTGTGAGTACTCAGATTTTATTTTCATTTTTCTTTTCTTTGTAGGGTGAAGAATTTACATTAATCAGTATCTTTCATTGTGTTAAAGGGCTTAGCGATGGGCTCGTTTTATCTACTGGAACATTCCAGAAAAAGAAGGTATTGTCAATTTTGGGAATTTTTTTTGCCCCTTTAAAAGTCAGTCTGTAGGAATGGAAAAGATATTATATTTTACATCCATTCTTCCAGTCAGTGGATTCTTGGGCATTCTGAGGCATATCATTTACTTCTAAGGAGATAATTGGGTAATGATTAAGGCATTAGGTTTTGTAAGATGAAAAATATTGAGATTTTCCTCTTATGTCTTTCAATACAGATCTAAACATCAAAACATCCTCAGCACAGAGGAGGAACGAACTGCTCTCCTGCCTAATGAAATTTAGTCTTACGGATCCCAGGTCGATACAAGGTCAAGAAAGGGATGTCCTGGCCTTAACCAGCACTGTTGGAAGGGTTTTTAAATTTTTACGCACAGAACTCCTCCATTAGGATGCTGGAAGTGTCAGTGGATTTTTTAGATGACCCTGTGTTGGGCTGTCTGATTGTTGTCTTGAAAGGCTGCTTACCTGTCTGCGAAACCAGCTGCATTTGAGACACGCAGTCTGAGAAGTGTAGTTGAAAACCACTTGTCCTTGAAGATATCTTATTGACTATTTAATTCTATTTCCTCTGTTTACTTTTCATACTGATTCTGTGAATGCACTTTTTTTATTAACAGGGAAATAAATAAATTGATTTGATATGCTTAAAACAGGTAAAGATGACTCAAATATATAAAATAATTACTATTAAATTAGTTTTTAAAGATACATTCTCTCTGTGTCCTGACATGTTTGTTCCCGTTGAGAAGGCAAAATTGCTGCCTGCCATCCCCAAATTTTGTAGCATTTATTGGCCTTACATTTTTCTAAAAGTTTCGTTCATGTGAATGGGACAAGAATAACAATACTTACAACTTCCATTTCGTAAACCACTTTTTGTTATGGTCTGGATTTATGAATATTGCTTGGTATAACATTAGTCATTTCTCATGGCATCTCTGTGTTTCAGTTCTACCATTCCCCCCATTCGCTTGAGAGGTGAATCCCATCCCTAGATCAGGTCACACTCCCTACATAAGTGCTTGTCTTATGTTACGGAAGGGTTTATTCCAACCTCATGTGAAATCTGTTCTGTTGTCTGAAGTGAGCAAATGTCTGCTGTGTAACTCTCATGCCTCCTAATCCATCTTCATGGTATAGCCATGTTTACTTTTCTTTTTTTTCATTTTGGTTAAAAAAAGGAGTTTTATCTATTTATTCAGACATTGGAGAATATCTTTTGGATGCCTTCTCTGGACTGACACTGCTAGGTGCTAGGGATTTAGCTATGATTGAAATAAATACAATTTCTGCTTCTATGTAACTTACACTAGTGGAAGGATAAACAGTCAATAAATACCAGGATCTCTAATTATCTTACAAAAATGCTAAGAATGAAAAAGCAGGGTGATGTGATAGAGTAGCTGGGTGGGGTTGATTAGGTGTGGAGGCCTAATTTAGATGAGGCCTCTGCATGGACTTGGGAATTTTGAGCCGAGAGCTGAAGACTAAGAATGAGCCTCCCACCCATTCATTCATTCTGACAAGGAGAACAGCCCATAGCATGTATGAAAGGGTTTGACATGATCAGAGATCCGAATCTGGGCCACTTGGCTCGAGTTAGTTAACAGGAGGCTGAGGAGGAGGGCAGGACCCAATTTCTAAACAGGATGCCAGATCTTGTTTACATGTCAGGAAGTTCATTGTTTGCATGCGGACCGCAAGTGGAATATCAGTAAGGACGGGCAAGAACTTAGGAAGTTTTGAGAAAAATAATACTGGTTTGGACCAGGGAGATAGTGGTAGAGATGGAGAGAAAAGCTGAATTAACAGGACTTGCTGATGTGGAAAGGAAAGGAGTCTAGGATGACTCCTAGATTTTAGTATGATAGTATGAGTGGATGACATTGCCACTTAATGATACGAGGAGGAAGGAGCAAAACAGGTACTAAAGAAACAAATTAAAACCATGATGAGGGGCCAAGGGTTAAGGCAGCTGGAACCCACATGGTCATACGTAATATGTGGTGATTCCAGTTTCAGACCCAGGAGCTCGAAAAACAAGATAGGTATGTATGCGTGGGTGCCCCAAAATCCCAAGAATAGAATGGAGAAGGGATTGATCATGACCATGCTCCCTGGGGGTGCTTTCTCACTTTCCCTCTTTCTCTCTGTCTCTCTCTAGCAAGCTCAGAAGCCCCATAGCAAACTTTAGCAAATTAAACAAACCAAAGAACCATGATGAGATGCCTGTTTACATCCTTGGGAGGACCACTTTGGAAGACTGGGAATTAATTGTCCAAGTGGGATGTACACCTCTCATGAACTCATTGCACCATTTGCTCCCTCAAGCCCCTTCACCCCAGAACCTCCAGGAGTGAGAAGCACAGATGGCTTGTTCCTCTTCCCAGAGCAGCACCAGGACAGAGAGTGAGCCCAGCCCGCTGCAGAGCGTAGGGTGAGCACAGGGTCGGGCCCTGATTGCCCTGGTTATATGGCCCTGGCCCTTGTTCAGTGCTTTCCTCATCTAGGTGTGGTCTTGCCTTGAGCTGCCGCTCCCTTCTCAGCCTGGTGGCTAAAGACGCCACTGAGCTCCTGCAGTTCCCCTGCTGCCGCGTGGGGCCGCTATTAAAGCACAAGTACAAGAGCGGCTGGACCCGGGACCTGCCCAGCTAGACATCATGCAAACTCCGGATCGCCAGCCTATTACTGTTACCAACGCAAAGACTGTTGAGAGTTCAAGGTTAACCCAAAGACTCCAGGCCTTCTAGTGAGAGAACTTTCTGTGTTCTCATTCCAGCATGCTCCTCTCACAAACATTTTATAGGAAACTAAATTTAGCCTTTTCTCATTTCATTATTTTACCAGTATTAAGATAAATGACAAAAGATTTAAAATATGAGAAAAGATAGTGGAAAGAACACTTTGAACAATAAATCCTTAAGGTAGGTCAAAACTATCAAAGGAAATCTCTGTGTGTGTGTTTTTATTTTTACATATTTATATTAAATGTAACAGAGGTACCCAGCTTAAAAGAACCTGTTTTTGTTTTCTTTTATTGTTTTTAAAGAGAATTTTTCGTATGATGTGCATGTGATTGCTGGACAGAGAGAGAAAAAGCAAGAAGTCACCCCCTGGGGAGATGGCCATACCACAATCCCTTCTCTTCTTGAGATTTTGGTCATGCACGCACATGTATCTGGCATGTTTCAAGCCACCGGGCCCAGGAGTTGAACCACAGTCAACTACTTGGGAATCTAGCGCCTTAACCACTATGCCACCTTCTGGTCCTCAAAGAACCCATTTTTAAAATGAGAATTAATATTTGATGTAGCTGAATGTAGAATACATTAATAACTAATAAAGAAAAGTTACCTTTATGTTAAGATCACATTGCATCCTATACATACATAACTGAGTAACAAATCAATCCCAAGGAAAAATTAGATGGATAAATAAGAATCACAGATAGTTTTAAAAAATTAAACTTTTAAAGTTTTGAGACTGTTCATTCACATGCAGTTGTGAGAAGTAATGCAGAGATCATGTACATTCTTTTTTTTCTCTTTTTCTCTTTTTTTCTTTTTTTTTTTGAAGAGGTTTTTGCTATCGGGTGCGTGTGCTCTCCAGACAGACAGAGAGACAGAAAGCAAGAAATCACCCCCCAGGGGGGATGGCCACACCACAATCCCTTCTCCTCCATTCTCCTTTTGGGACCTTGGGCACGCATGCACATGTGCCCGGCATCAGTTTCTTAAGCCACCGGGTCCGGGACGTGAACCCTGGTTGACTACATGGGAGTCCAGTGACATAGTCATTACACTAACTGCTGGAACCCATGCGCACTCTTT